TGTTTCCATTGCTTTTAGTCATGAAATCTTTGACCATGCCAATGTCCCAATAGTATTGACTAGTACTGATACCAAAACATATGTATAGATCAACGGAACAGAACAGAGGCTTCAGAAATAATGTCACACATCTACAGCCATCTTATCTTTGACAAACCTAACAAAAACAAGCAATGGGGAAAGGATTTCTTATTGAATAAATGGCGTTGGGAAAACTGGCTAGCCATATGCAGAAAACGAAAACTGGACCCCTTCCTTATATGCAAAAATTAACTCAAGATGGATTAAAGATGTAAACATAAGACCTAAAATGATAAAAACCCTAGAAGAAAACCTAGGCAATGTCAATTACAATTTTTAATAAAACTTTATAGACAAATTGATTCAATCATAATCAATTTGACCATAAGGTGAGATTCTCATAAATCTTTTATAACCTTTTACAAATTTTTGTTAAAGAGTAAATCTGTGCTCTACGAAAACCCTGTTGTGCTTTTATTTCAATGTTCAATTTATGGAAAAAACAAATAATATCCCTTTAAATTTAGTCATTATGTTCACACACAGAATGTCTTTTACAAGATTAATTTTTATAAATCTACAGCTTGCTCAATCTTTCAACTTTATCTTATCTAATTTAAAACAATCCTTTAACACTCTAAACTAGGCAAAAATTTATATTCCCATGCCTTCTTATAATATTTTACCAGAAACACATTTCATTCTCTTCACACACCTTACATGTAAAACTGTTTCTTCAGTAGTCTCAATTACATGTTATAATGGTAATTCTCAGCAATTTTCATTTTTGTCAAAAAACCTGGTAAGTGGTCTTAATTATGTGCTAGCTTTGGAGCCTAGGAAATCAGCAGTGCAGATAAGAGGCAGGTGTGGTGGCTCAAGCCTATAATCAAAGTGCTTTGGGAGGCTGAGATGGGAGGACTGCCTAAGTTCAGAACTCAAAGAAGTGCAGATAAGGTCTTAGTCTTTCCAGCAGGACTGTGGGCCTGGCTAACTCCACATGTCCCCAGGCTTCACCTACCTGTAAAGTACACAAGTTGAATTCTTTTCAAAAGCCAAAGAAGCAGTTTATGGGCCTTAAAGCATTTAGTAAAGCTAATATCTGACCTGCCTAATTTAGACCAAATATCTTTATTTTAGTAATAATCTTTAAAGCTGTTTTTATTTCACAAAGATTACTAAAGTCATGTGAACTAAAAGGCATTACAGTTTTTATTTTTATTTCAAAATATTTGATTTAGATGCTTATTTTTTCTTTAAGCTAATTTATATATGACACGCACAACACATGTCTAACTAAACAGACAGACAGAAGATTCAGTAGTTGTAAGATTTTTCATTTGCCAGTTTTTATGTTTCTTAATTGGATTACTGGCTTCAGGGTGGAGCCCTTGGAGAAACAGGGCCAGGAAAGCATGCCGTTTCTACAACCTAATTTAAAGCAGGCACAGCTAGAAGGCAAAACAGATTCCCCTATAATTCGCCCTTCTCCCATGAGAGTCTTATCTCTCAGGGGGGTAGGGATGTTGCCATACCTTTTAGGTGGCCAAGAGCATGCTTCTCTGATCCAAATGTGCAAAGAACTGCGTACTCCCCCAAAATGCCTTTAGCTATCCCCTAGAGTGTATTTCCTACCTAGTTATTACACATCAAAGCTCTCTCATAATTCAAAATAATTTCTGAGACCCCCAAAAATAAAACATGTCTGGTAGTGCAATACAAAACAGAACATAGACTTAGATTTTGACAGAGACCTATTTGTTTTCAATTTTTGGGATTTTATGAGGAAAACAGAGGTGTTTCCCCGAAAGGGGACTGTGACACGTCATCTGTTTTTCCCAATGAGTACAGGATATTAGAGCTTGAATATCCACTTTTAATTAAGCTGACTTTTAACCATAGTGCTCTTAAAAAAAGTTCTTTCAAGTTTCTTATTACCTGCCTTTAGTTAGTCCAAATGCCTGATATTTCTGGCTCTTTCTCTCAGCTGGGAACTGAACCCTGAACCTGGAGTGTCATTGTAAAATGGTGAAGCCTTAGCTGCTGAGCTACAGCATTAGGTAGCTTTCCTTGCTACCTAATGTTAAAAGCAGTAGCTTTTAACTGCTTGAGATAATTTTTAGAGCTAACAAATAACATAAACCCCAAAATTCTTGTTCACTGGATGGGAAACCAAGAGAAAGTGCCACCACATGGTTACAAGATCAAGCTGCCAAGGACCTAACTGACCAGTTTGCTGGGCCATCTTGAACAGTGGGCTTATGGAGTCCTAGGCCCATGTGTTTTTCTAAGGTACCCCTCTTTCTGATGGAAAGATTTAGAAAGACAAATTCATAGCGCAATGCACACCAGATTTACTACAGCTTAAGACTAGCCTCACAAATCTTTTTTTCCGTTAATCGAAACTTTACAGGATATAAACAGTTATTTTTGCTGTTCATTCAACTAGTTTGCACAGAAAGAGCAAGGCCAGAAGTCTGACTGGTAAGAAATTCTTGCCGTTTTGCCAGCATGCCATGTTTCCGGGTTCTCTTTCTGTGAGTGGCCTTAGCAACCCTGTTAGCTGTATCAAAGCCCTGGGGGCCAGCTGAAACATAAAGGAAAATAATCTTTTTTCTATTTTTATTGAACCACAAGAAAAAAACCTCAGTTTTATAAGTTGCTGCCCAACTGGCTGCACAGAAGACCTGAATTAATATTTCCCATTCCAGCGAGAGCAAAATAAATGTGCTAAAATTAAAATCTTTTTTTGAAAGAAGCTTCTGCATATCAGTAGGCATCCCTAGATGAGACTAATTTGGTAGCCCTCATTGTTTCAAATGTACTTCAGTGTGTCATTGTTCATTTGGAACATGCTACTGTAAATTATCTTTAGTAAGATTTTTCCAATTCTGTAAGATTTTGCTGTTTCCCAGGCTTAATATTTGTGCATGTACAAGCTGAAGGAACTCAGTTCTTTAGAAATTAAAGTTCTAATTTTTACCTAAAATATTGGCTTTGCTTTCAGGTTCTTTTGATTAACTTAGCCAATGATATTTTCCTACCTAAGCACTCAAGAAAAATGAAACAAATGGGTAGAACACAAAAATCCCCACAAATTTCCAAAAGCCAAATTTTACAACCCCTACAATATTACCATTTGCTACTAGTTTCTTTCTGACCCAGTCAGATCTAAGAGGCCTCTAACTGAATCCAAGTCAGTTAATTACCAGATCAGATCTTTTCCTGGGCCCAGTCCAGTTTCTGTCGTGACTTCCAAACCCAGTTTGGATCAGAAATTTGGTCAAAAAAATCTCAGAGAGCTCAAAACACAAATCCCTGGAGCTCTGAAATCCAAGAGAGAACTTACCAAGATCCATGGCCATGCTCAGAGATCAAGCAACACAAGTGAGTTCTTGCTTGTTCACTCAGCACTCCTGGGGGCCATTAGAAGTACTACTTTGGATCCCACTTCTGACACCATCTGTTAAAAGAAAAATGTAAGCCAATTTAGATTTAAAAGAGTTTAATTGAGCAATAAATGATTTGTGAATTGGACAGCCCTCAGAATCACAGCAGATTCAGAGAGACTGTGGCACAGCCTCATGGTGGAAGAAGATTAACAGACAAAAAAGGGAAGGATGGACAGAAATCAGAAGTGAGGTACAGAAACAACTGGATTGGTTACAGTTCGGTGTTTGCCTTATTTGAACACAGTTTGAACACTCAGCAATGTATGAGTGGTTGAAGCATGGCTACTTGGATTGGCCGAGACTCAGCTATTGCTACAGGCACATACTCCTAAGTTAGTTTTTCAATCTTGTCTGTCTATTAAGTTAGGTTACAATTCATCCACAAGGCCTTAAATACAGAATTATGGAATCCGTCTCAGGCCATATATAGTTCACTTTAACATTTGTATCATCAGTGATTTCTTTTAGCTGTGTTTTCTATTTTTCCTTGTACAGATCTTTCATCTCCTTGATTAGATGTATTTTTAGGTGGTTTATTTTTTGGTAGCTATTGTGGATGGTATTGCATTCTTGATTTGGCTTTCAGCTTGAACGTTATTAATGTATAGAAATCCTACTTATTTTTGTACATTTGATAACCAAAATATTACTGAAGTTATCAGTTCCAGGAGCCTTTTAGAGGAGTCTTTAGAGTTTTCTAAGTATAGAATTATATATTATCAGTGAAGAAAGATAGTTTGACCTCCTTTTTTCCTGTTTGGATGTTTTTTTATTTCTTTCTCTTGCCTGATTGGTATGCCTACAGCTTCCTCTTTTTATTGTAAAGCAAGCTCAGTTTCTCCCACAAATCTTCATCACAAGTAAAAAACAAAGAGTAATAAAATGGAGGTTATTATTTTTATTTTTTTTATTCATACTCCTTTTCGCTACATTGATGAAATAATAGGTTGGAACCTAATTGATTTATTAATATAACCCTGATCAATATAGATTGCTGCAGGACTGGTTAATGAGAAAAATGACCAAAATGAATGAATTTGAATAGCCAATTCCACACCATTCACCTTAATACTGATTTACTTTTGTTTTGAACAATCAGTTTGACAATGAAGTAGGTACTGTTAAAAGGCAATGTCCTTTTTCTCATTTTCATAGACTTTGCCACTTTAATTCTAATTTTTTTAATGTTCAAACCAGATAGATTGTTGTTTGAAACTTTTTCTTTCCTGAAATACAGCTAGAAATATTGAGGTTGATATAAATACAAGCAAAATCAAACAAAGTTTTAACAAATAATATCTCTTGAAAAATTTAAGTTTTCACAAAAAGGTACAGTGGAAAATGAAATAATGATACTTTTGTACATATTTTGATTACATATTCTGATATTTTTGTACATATTCTAATTACAAAAAGATAACTAATGTTATCCTTTTTCTTTCCTTTTCTTTTTTTTTTTGAGACAGAGTCTCACTCTGTTGCCCAGGTCGGACGGAGTGCAGTGATGTGACCTTGGCTCACTGCAACCTCTGTCTCTTGGGCTCAAGAGATTCTTCTGCCTCAGCTACCCACATAGCTGGGATTAAAGGCATGAGCCACAATGCCTGGCTAATTTTTTTATTTTGAGTAGAGACGGTTTCATCATGTTAGCCAGGCTGATCACAAACTCCTGACTTCAAGTTATCTGCCCACCTCGGCCTCTCAAAGTACTGGAATTACAGGCATAAGCCACCATGCCTGGCCAAAATGTTATACTTTTAAGGGGGAAATTGTATATGTGTGTGTGTGTATGTATACAATGATCTAAAATAACATTGATTTGAAATCAGTAATGTAGCAAAGAAAACATTCTCATCTGATGTCTTTAATAGAGTAAAATTCACTTCTTTGAAATTGTAGCAAACAGAAGTGAAACATTATCTATTCATCTTCTGTGGTATTTTCTAGCTTAGGTATAGTATCTGACAGCTTTCTATTTTGATAACCTCTCTTTGATGTTTTCCTTCTTCTACAAAGTTTGTTACAATTTGGTATAACTTGTAATAAGAATTTAGAGATGCATTTTTCACCTTCTTCCCAGGGAGCACTGTTATCTTTTAGCAACTCTTTTGTTAGATGCAGCAGAAAGAAACTTGCCATATTTATCTTTTAAGGGGATTCCATTTACAAAGCAGCCTACTCGTGATTTATAGCAGAAAAATATGAAATAGAAGGAACACCTTTATAAAAGAATTTCTCACTCTCCAAGAAAAGGAATCCCACACTTTGACAGTGTATCACTCCCTCTGGGATCATGATGCAATATCATTTGTATAGAAAAATGGGTATTCTGTTTCTTTTATTTAAGCCTCTATCTATGTGTCATAGACATATAATTCTTTTTCTGTGAAAGTAGGAAAGGATTTATAGAGAAAATTGGAATACTCCTGATAGCTCCAGACTATTAGACATTGTCAAAAGAAATTGAGAAACTATTTGTATTAGCTGTTCCACAAAATAAGCAGGTAGAAAACATGTCAAACAACATGTTGTAAAGTGATGGAGATTACCCAAGAAGGTTCTCAAGAAGAACTGATCCCCAGTCTATCAGAAACATTTAGTAGTAATTGCAATAAAATGAGTAATAAGGCATGATGAAGTAAATAGTATTATTTGATAATGGCTTAATGGACATGGGCATCATGGAAAGGAGAGAATTGAAAGAAGACAGTGCAGCTCTATAGTTTTGATGAATCACGCTTCTTCCAATTTCATTGAAATTTGGTCAGATTATAGCTGGCTATTGGCTTCCTTGAGAGGCAAGTGCCTTAAGTGGGAAATTAACTGATGAAATGACCCTTTTATCATTATGAATTGTCTGTCTTGATCTCTGATAAAGTGCTTTGCCTTAAGTCTGTTTTATGTGATAATACTATAGAAACTCCAGTCTTCTTGCACTTTGTGTTTGCATGGTAAATCTTTGATATTGTTTGGGTATTTGTCCCCACCCAAATCTCATGTTGAATTGTAATTGAAAGTGGGGCCTGGTGGAGGGTGTTTGGATCATGGGCCAATCTCTCATGGCTTGGTGCTGTCTTCACAATAGTAAGTTCTCGTGAGATCTGGTCATTTTAAAGTATTCAGGACTCCCCTTACCCCCTACTTTCTCTCTCTTTCTTGTTCCTACTTTGGCTCTGTGACATGCCTGTTCCCCATGTGCCTTCCATCATGATTGTAAGATTCTTTGAGTGGAAGCTGAACGGATGCCAGTAACTTGCTTCCTGTAAAGCTTGCAGAACCATGAGCCAATTCAACCTCTTTTCTTTATAAAGTACCCAGTCTCAGGTATTTCCTTATAGCAATGCAAGAACAGCCTAACACAATCTTTTACCATCTATTTACTTTCAATCTAGTTTCTTTATATTAAGGTAGAACTCTGGTGGATATCTTATAGTTAAGTCTTTATTTTCATCCTCATAACTTCTGCCTTTTAATAAGTGTGTTTAGTTCATTAATACATTTACAAGCATTTTGGATTGGATTAGATTTAGGTCTACCTTTCAAGTATATTATCTGTCATAATATGTTTACCTCCTCTTGTTGTCACAGATACTAATTTCAATCTGTTTGCAAATCATGTTGGTTCTACTTTGAAAATCAATTAAGAATCTAAATTTTTTTCCTTGAGAACTATTATTAAAAAAATAAAAAATAAATATAAAAATTAAGAATCTAAATTCTTAAGAAATCACCTCCCCTACTGTCACCTACTCTGAACCACTTTCCTGTTTCACTTGGATGATGATGATAATAATGATGATTTTTAGAGACAGGGTCTTGCTTAATCACCCAGGCTGGCATCAGTGGTATAATCATAGCTCACTGTAGGCTCAAACTCCTGGATTCAAGACATCCTCCTGCCACAGCTCCCAAATAACTGGAACTACAGGTGCATACCACCATGCTTGGTTTTAATTGTTTTATTTTTGTAGAGATGAGGTCTTTCTGTGTTGCCCAGGATTTCATGCAGCTGTTTCTTGTAAAAGTTTCTTGAAGCTTTTAAAACAATCAAATACAGGCTCTAAAAAGGTTACTTAGGTAGATTTAAAGACTATAGTCTAAGTATGTAGAATTTGATGGTCTAATCACACCAAAAATTAGAGTTGGACTATCTAGAGGAAGGATTTCCTACCCAAATCTGGCAGGTACACTATCAGCTACATCAAGCCCTGCTTCCCTGTTTATCAGTTACCATAGGAAGCTCAAAGCCTACTTGAACTATTTTTTGAATACAGCTCTGTGTAACTTCTAAGCTGGACTCCATCACCCACCTTCCCTCATTTCTTTTTTTTTTTTTTTTTTTTGAGACGGAGTTTTGCTCTTGTTACCCAGGCTGGGGTGCAATGACATGATCTCAGCTAACCACAGCCTCCATCTCCTGGGTTCAAGCAATTCTCCTGCCTCAGCCTCCCAAGTAGCTGGGACTACAGGCACGTGCCACCATGCCCAGCTAATTTTTGTATTTTTAGTAGAGATGGGGTTTTACCATGTTAACTAGGATTCTCATTTCTTAAAATACATCTCTTCTGCTCTCTAGAATGCATTTGTTATAAGCAAAAATACCCCAGCTTTACAGCTGAATATTTTCTCTCTTTTACTTTTTTTTCTCTTGACATCCTTGAGCCATTAACTTTTGTTTTTCTGTTTTTTGATTTTTTAGGCCAATAACTGAAATCAGATACTGCAAACATTTTGTCCCCATCCTTCTAGATCAGTAACTACCTTCTTTCACATACTCTTTGAACTACTGTGCGGGAATATATATAGATATGTGTAGATATGCTACTTGCTCTTCATTGCTGTTATCCATTTTTTCTTTCAGCCTTCTAAAGAGCCACAGCTTTAAAACTCATACCATTGGATAATACTACTAACCTACACCCCTTGCACAGTCATCTGGAGACCCTAGCTTGCTTCTCTTAATTCTCCAAAGACTTCAATATGTGGCTTGCTGGCATTTTCTCCATATCACTCAAGCCAGAATTTTTGGTGGGATCACTATCACAAGTGGAAGCTCTCTTTAATGCACTTGTCTTCTTGATTTTCCCTTCTCTGATGATCTTGTCTCCTTCCTAATTCAGTTATTCCTCCCCATGTTTGCACCTTAAGCTTTGTCACTACTAGTAACGACTTTCTTTCTTAAATCTTAATTTCAGGCTTTCTGCCGCCTATATGTCCTATACAATATATCTTTCTGAGATAATAATATATTATTTCCAAAAATTATTTGTACATACTTCTGCCTCCTATATATCCTATCTAACATATCTTTCTAAAATTGTCTGTTATATCCCAATAGTTATAAATCAATCCAGCAGCCAGAGAAATCCTCTTAAAGAATAAGTTATCTGCTCAAATTTTCCAAAGCTCTTCAACAGCCCATAAGACTCTATATTAGAGTATATTCTCTGGTTCTTGGCTCCCTCTCCGACATTGTTTTTTTCCACTCTTTCTAGTATTTACTGTGCTTCAGCCACATTGTTCACCTTGCTGTCAGTCAGATATTATGAGCACATTACTCTCTCATGCCCTTTGCACTGCTGCTTGCTCTGCCTGGAACAGTCGTTCTCCGGACTTCCATATATGCCTGTAGTTGGTTCAACAGAGTTCTCTCAAAATTCATATCAGAATGTGATCTTATTTGGAAATAGGGTCTTTGAAGATGTGATTAGTTAAGGACCTCATGAAGAAATCAACCTGGATTTAGAGGGGGCCCTAAGTTTAATGACTAGCGTTCTTATAAGAAGAGAGGACACAGAGATATAGGGAAGAAGCTGATATAAAGACAAAGGCAGAGATTGGAGGGATGCTCCCACAAGCCCAGGAACACCAGGAACCACCAGAAACTGAAAGAGGCATGGACGGAGTGTCCCTAGAGTAACTGGAGGGAGGATGGCCCTGCCCGTTGTCTGGATTTCAGGCTTTCGGCCTATGGAGCTATCAGACAATAAATTTCTGTGTCTTTAAGCCACACAGTTTGTGCTAATTTATTAAGGCAGCCCTAGGAAATAAATACAATGCCAAGGCTTGTTTCTTTACTCCTATCAGATTACTGCTCGGATAATCCCAGCCCTACTAATATAAATAGCCATTCCTTTTCCTCTTGGCGCTCACTACTTCCTTCTACTAATTTATTTTCTCCCATAGTACTTACCATAGCCTTGTATACTATATAATCAGTTTGTTTATTCTCTCCTTTTTCCCCCATAAAATGTAAGAACCATGAAGACTTCCCAGAGTCTTCTTGCTTACTATCTTGCTTACTAATGTATTTCCTGGTCCTAGAAGAATGCCAGGCACATAACAAGCATTCAATAAAATTAAATAAATCAGTGGCATATCCCTTAGAATATTTTCCACATTTACTTATTTGATCTGGGTTTTGGAATGGAGCATGGGAGTGGCATGTTGGTATTCCTCATAATAGGTTGAGGTAGACTCATGTGTTTTGCTAGTAGAGATTTCCTTCAATAACAAGTTTATGTTTGCTCCAG